GATCTTGTACTAGTTTTAGGGATCTAGCAACCCTTACCGATCTTGTACTAGTTTTAGGGATCTAGCAACCCTTTCCGATCTTGCACTTGATGTCTTCTTGTGGGTGTTGTGGAATGAAAGACTGCCCCTAAGTGAATGGACAGGAGATGTTTGATGTGCCTTGTGTTGGTGGGCAGAGAAGTAGATGGCTGACAGGGATTCCAATGTTGCCCCTACCACTTGAGTATTGTGATGGCTCTCTAGGCGCTTGCTTGTGGTAGGTTTCTTTTTTCTAAATTTCATTTTTGTTTAGCTTCGGCTTTTTCATATTTGAAGCTTGCCTTTTTCTGCTATTTTTTCTTAAATGCTTTGGCTTTTTCAACATGTACGAAGCTTGCCTTTTTCTATTTTATCTTTTGTTGTCATCATTGGTGGAGGGATCCCATCCCATGATGATGTTATTTGCTGAATCTTTATTAATGAGTATTATTTCGGAAGCCACTCCTGGCATTGGTGAGGAAACCATTCCTAGTCTGGCATTCTCTTGGATCATTTTTCATTTGGTGAAGAACTAAGGCGTGGTGGCCTCTTCATGCTTATAGTTGCTTGCTTGGTCGATTCCATTCTATTCCACTATTGATGTGTCTTTGCTTAGTGGGCACATAGAATCACTTGGGGTTTTTGTTTGTCACTGCTTCGACTCATGCTTGGCTTTTGAGCTTTTACGAGTGCTTTGTCCTAATTACTCTTCTTGACCCATAGCAAGTAGAATGCATGGATGCATGGATGCAAAGAAAATGCAAGACAAGAATGATTCTTTTATTTTTTTTGTGTAACGCCCTTCCATATGCCCCTAACTCATACGCATGCGATACAGTTTATGCTTGTGTTTGTTCCTAAAGATGCAATTCATTTTTTTTTATATCGGGAAATTAACCTGTACGTATTAAGGTTAATGTTGATGATTTCGTTCTATCCATGTCAATCTTGATTACTGTCAGGATATGTTCTTTTATGCCCAAGCTTCAGTGGCTCATTGACTATCTAGTCGATGTGTGGTCAAGCGTCTCTAACCTCTGTTTGAGGACATCTCGGTCTTCCCTCTGTGAGTATTCACTGTGCATTTTCCGTGTATCTTTTTAGTACCATTTTAATGCCATAAGGGTCAAGAGAAAAGAAGGAAGGAATGTTATTATTATTATGTTTTTTTTCAAAAGGGTTGTTAGAAGGGATTTTTCAAAAAGGGTTTTTTTTTAGAAGAAGGGCTAGCCAAGGTAGCCTTTGGTGTTTAGGGTTATTAAACAAAATGTATTTGCTGCAAGGAAGCTATCATTGTGTTTTAGCCTTTTTGGAAAGTGGAGTGATGACTTGGGGTCGCGCTTTGATTGAATGATTCCCCTGAGTTGGCTTTCAGTTTTCAACTCAAGTTGCTGCTTTAATGTCCTAACTTTTGCCTAGGTCACTTGGGATGTGTTTCCTAGCATACATTTTTTTTTATCCTTACTTTTGCCTAGGTTACCCAATTTTGCTTGTGGGTTGCCTAGCAGATCTTGCCCTAACTTTTGCGTAGCCCCCTTAGTGGGTTTCCTGCCGTGCCTTCAGTTTTTTTTTTTTGAGCACTCATGAGGTATGGGGTGTCTTTATTTTATCAAACCCTATTCATGTTTGAATTCCTGATTGTTCCTTTGTTATCCTTTCCATGTTATTATTGAGTAACATCTTTGTTGCAAATACATTTTGTTTGTTAAGGGTTGATGGATGAGGCCTAGAGTGAATATTTTAAAGGGAGAAGAGAAATGAAAGAATGTCATGGCATTTAAAACAGTACTTCCAATTTACACGTGCCCCTTTAGCAAAGCTCGGAGGCCCGGGCATGCCCCGAGTTCGTGATTCGTACACAGAGAGATTAACCGAGGTTGCCCCCTAGAGAGGCATGGTTGACGATTGGTTGAACTACATTTAATCAATTGAGAATTGAACTTGGAATTATCAATGAGTTTTGTTTGAATTGATTGTGAATGTGCACTTGAGTGTGATTGTTTGAATAAAACTTGATTGATGTAAGCATAAAATATTGGAATGTGGTTTATAAAAAAGTGTTTTTAAGAGATGAAACAAAATATCCAAAAAAATGATATGTATTTACCCAGACCAAGCAATATCATGCATCATCTTAGGAATAGCCCAAAACATGATAATGCTTAGTTAAATAAACACTATGCATGCATATTCAAACATCATCATCATCTCATATCATGCATTGTATTGTAGATTACGGAGAGGTCTAGGGAGATGCATGGGCAGTTGAAGAAAGTGGACTTCCTATTATACCGTGCTGAGAGGTTGGATCACCTCTGTACTTTGATGCCAAGAGAGGCTCGCATTGAGTTTGAGAGATCATATGGGCGAGTTCTTGACTTGATGAAGATTTGTGTGGATCCAGCTTTTCTGAGAGCTTTGGTTCATTTCTGGAATCTCGATCTGCATTGCTTTGAGTTCCCCCAGTTTGACTTGGTTCCTACTCTCGAGGAGTACGAGCTCATGCTACGGTGGCCCAAATCAACCGGGGTCTACCTTTTCCAGGGCAACCATGTGGCCGTAGAGAGGGTTGCCACTCAAATCAAACTGCCATCACGATCATCTGCCTTAGTGGGGAACGGCAGTATCAAGGGTTGGAAGCTCGCTATGATCGAAGACCGCCTTTCTGCCTTGGTGGGTGAGGGAGATTGGTTAGCTTTCAACAAGACTCTAGCGTTAGCCGTGTTTGGGATGATCCTATTCCCCTTTCACGCTAACACGGTGGATCATGCTGCTATGGACGCTTTCTTCGCTTGGGATGTACACATGAAGAGTCCCGTGCCTGCCATTCTTGCCGACACCTTGCTTTCTGTCAATCTATCTCAACAGAAGCAAGGAAAGACTATCCGGTGCTGCACCTCCTTGTTATATGTGTGGGGCATCACACACTTCTATGCCTCTAGTCACATGGGGACCTTGCCCGATCCATTGGGGAGTTTTTCGAAGACCCCCGTCTGCCGCCGATATGCTTCCGAGTGGAAGGCAGAGATGGAGCAGTGGAGTATTGAGCACTTCACATGGGTTTGCCCTTGGTTCCGTCCGAGCCATGTATTGATGAGATGCGGCAATTATCCGAGCATACCGTTGATGGGCCTCAGAGGTTGCATAGCCTATTCACCTAGATTGGTTATGAGACAACTAATGAGGACTCAGATCATTCCTACTATAGAGGAGCTTGGAGGGTTGTGTTTCTCTTTCGACCCCGAACATCAGAGAGATATGCACGCTGTCATAAAAGCGTGGGAGAGACCAACCTATGAGGGAGATCGAGAACCTGGAAAGCCTCGGATATCCGTCTCCACAGATTACGAGATATGGAGAAGCAAGAGGGGGATATCCCAACCATCTACCTCTTGCCCCACCGCTACCACAAGGAAGGTGTTGCAAGAACAAGTCGACGCCTTGACCAAAAAACTGGAAATCATGGGAGCTCAGATGAGAGTTCTTGAAGAGAAAAACGAAGAATCCAGTTTCACCATTGACGGTCTATAGAGGCAGTGCAAGAAAAAGGACCATGAGATAGAACGACTCAAGGATGAGTGTGCTAATCTCAATGAGGAGGTTACTCGGGCATCCAAAATGCCAAAAGTCGAACCAAGTAGTCAACTCCAAGAAGTCAACATGAAGATAGCCCGCCTTGAAGCCGAACATGCAAGGCAGGCACAGTTGATCAAGGACATGCAAGATGATTTACTTTTGACTCGATCCGATGCGCAACAATGGTGGGAAGTTGCTCAACGACAAGCCGCAAACCTTTCCGACCTCCACAAAAAGGAAAGGGAAGGATTGGCACAAATGGCCAAACTCCAAGAAGAGAAGGATCGAGCCGAAGATGAGCTTAATGAGCTGCAGGCCATGATCAACTATCACATACAAAAAGCGAAGGATGCTCAGAAGATCAGTGACAATATGAGCCAAGCGGTCCATACACAGATTGAAGCAATGGTCCGCCATGTGGAGGAAGCCGAAGACGAATGGCAAAGACATATGAACCCGCCTGTGGGTTTTTACCGGCTTTTCTCTTTTTGTAAAAGGTTGCTTCGAAGCATCGTATAAAAAGTTGTACACTTTCTTCAATTAATAAAATCGTATTTTTGAGATTTATTGCCTTTGCATCTCATTAGTCATTCATTTGCATTTATCTCTCCTGGTAATTTAATAATAAAGATTAATAAAAAGAGAGAATTAATCGATGCGTATGTTCAGAATGGATCGCACGCCATTTGTGATAAAATGCAAACCAACAACTACGCAAAGCGAACACACGACGACTCCGTTGTTGGTAATCAAGACAGAAAAAGGGGAAGGTCCCAAAGAATCGTCGCTCCAAAGCCTTTCCCCTACAAATCGAATAAGGTTGTGCCGTGGATATACGACATCCATACTTTTGCCGACAGTGATATCTCCAATATCGCTGGACTTGGGGGCATGACTAGGAGTGGAAGGATCTACACTCCCGAAGATCTACAAGATAAAACCCCCAAGAATAAAGGAAAAGAGAAGGAGAAAACCGAGGAAAACAAAGAATCCGAGGAGGAGACCGATGAGCTGCTAAAATTCATCAGACAGAGCGAGGACTACATTGTGGATCAACTTCACAAAACACTAGGAAAGATCACTTTGTTGTCGTTGATCCTAAGCTCCGAACCGCATCGGCAAGCTCTGTTGAAGGTCTTGAACGAGGCATATGTGTCACACACTATTTCCCAAGACAAGTTTGAAGGGATTGTCAGTCACATCACGGCTAACGATCATCTCACTTTCACCGATGAAGAGATCCCCGCCGAGGGGCCAAATCATAACGAACCCTTGCACATCTCTGTAAAGTGCAAGGAGTATCACAGCGCTAAGGTCGTGGTGGACAACGGATCTTCCTTGAACGTGATGCCAAAAAGAACGTTCGATCAAATGGCAATTAAGGGAGTCCAAATGTGCCTAAGCAACATGATCGTTCGAGCTTTCGACGGCTCTAAAAGAGAAGTGGTGGGAGAAATCAGTCTTCCAATCCAAATTGGACCCACCATCTTCAACGTCGAATTCCAAGTGATGGATATTACTCCTGCATACAGCTGTCTCCTCGGCCGACCTTGGATTCATGATGCGAAAGCTGTACCCTCTACGCTCCACCAGAAAGTCAAGTTCATAGTGGGTGACAAGCTGGTGATCATACAAGCTGAAGACGTTATACTCATCAGCAAGCCATCCAACATACCTTATGTGGATGCAGCAGAGGAAGCTTTAGAAACCGCCTTCCAAGCATTGGAGATCGCCAATGTTGAGACGTTTCCCCGAGAAATGAAGAAGGTAACCCACATGCTCACCAAAAATGGATACTTGCTGGGACAAGGATTAGGCAAGGACTCCCAAGGAATTCCGGAGCTACCCATTATCAAGGATAATCCGGGGAAACACGGGTTAGGATACAACCCTGATAAAGATCAAAGGACGAAGAGGAACCAATATCCTTCTCGACGTTCTTTAAGTCAGATCTTTAGGAAGGCTGGCTCACAAACATCAAGGCCGGTCGTCGTCATCAAGTGTTCTTCTTCTTCCGATAGGGATGTGTAAATCTAATGACTGTTAGAGATCACTCCTCGGGGACAGCCCGACCCCCGAGCCTCGATAGGGCACATGTTTCCATCATGATTATAATAAAATCATTCTTTATTATTTCTTATTGCTTCTTTTCTCGCTTACAATAAAATTCTGAACCACATTATTTAACCCTGTTTGAATAAACACAAGTGAGGTTGAAATCGTCTTAACAAAAATAAACCCGCATCATTTTTATGTGGAAGTGTGCACGACAGCTTGGAGCACCTTTCCTCGGCCTCAATAAGTGCCATCATGGATAAAAAGAAATCCTAAAAACAAACAAAGCTCGGCAGGAAACCCAAAAAGGGGGCTGCGCAAGAATAAGAGCAAAAGACCCGCTAGGAATCCCACAAAAGGGTGACCTAGGCAAAAGTTAGGGTTACAATAATAAACAAAAACAAAAGCCCGCTAAAACACCACAAAGGGGTGTTTTAGGCAAAAGTAAGGGCCATCAAAAAGGGAAAAACAGAATAAATCCATGATGGTACCACCAATTGAATTCAATAAGGGGCTCAAGGAAGGCTATCCAAGTTGTCAAAATACAATCGTTAATAATAAAGATGTGCTTAACTTCATGAGTGTTTAAACAAACAAGCCTAAACACTTAGGCCTACCATTGGCCAGCCATTCTTACAAAATCCATTTTTCAAAAAAAAATAATCCCCTCCAAAACACAAACTTTTGAAAATATATCCTTTCCTTCTTTTCTCTCTTGTCCCAACGATTTTTGAATAATCTAGTGGAAACATGGAGATATAGTGGTCAATAGGAGGGTTGACACATCTTCTAAAGGAAGGGAAGAATCATTTGGTTGTTGACACCAAAATCTAATACGCATCATTCCTCGGTTACAGAAAACGGCAGAGCACAGTCCGTCTGGAGGAATGGCAAGATCCAAACGAAAAAGCGCACTGATTAATTCTTTTGAATGATGAATCAAATAGAATTAGGTGCATCATAATCATATACATGCATACAGATGATAGGTGTACTGGAAGATCACTTATTCTCTGTTTATTTCAAAAAAAAAAAAAAAAAAAAAAAGGGCCTTCAATACGCCCGTATTGGTATCAATACGGCCGTATTGAGACCAACGTTAAAGAAGGCTCTTCAGCTTCAATACGGCCGTATTGGAACCAATACACCCGTATTGACTTCCAATACGCCCGTATTGAATTCAATACGGGCCGTATTGGTTCCCAAATTTGGTCATCAATGGCTACACCAATACGGCCGTATTGAATCAATACGGGCCGTATTGGCAGAAATTTTTCTATAAATAGGCTTTCCCCCCTCTCATTTTTGCATACCAATCTTCATTCTCTGCATACCCTGCTTATGAGTGCACCCCAGAAACCTCTTCAGAAATGGCAGAGTCATCCCGAAAAAGGCAGAGGGCCCCGGCTCGACGTGAGATGACGGATCGACACAGGCAACGGCTAGATCTTATTGAGACATTCAATTTTGAGCCGTCAAGGGAGCTCGACTTTGACCTTCTCCGAGCAGTGGGCTTGGAGGATGACGTCAGGGGCTATTTCGGCAGCATAGGATGGGGATTCCTCCTTGATTCCCCTTCTCGGCTGTACTTAACTGCCACGAAGGAGTTCTTGGCTACCGTCGGCATTACTGAGTCGACAAACAGCTATGGGGAGGATGTCTGCTCGGTTGACTTCTGGATGAACCAGGGGTACCGCTCCCTGACGTTGGACGAGTTCAACGTCCAGGCAGGATTTTTCAGCCGGACCGATCAGCTGGCATTTCGAGATGCCATATGCGAGTGGCCAGATCAGTGGACTCCGGTTGACATGTGAAGATTGCTCACGGGCCGAGAGGATTATCATTCAGGGGTGAAGGGCTCCCGGCTCCCGACTGCTCTTCGGATCTGTCACAAGATCCTTACCAGTACCATCCATGGCAGGTCCAAGAGCCCCGAGTCGATTACACGTCCGGACCTGCTGGCATTATATTGTATGGCCACCGGACGGAAGGCCAACCCTGGATACTTCTTCCTCGAGCACGTGAAGAAGCTGGGGATACGAGAGGGAGGAGAGTCTAGACAGGGGTTTATCTTGGTAGCCCCACTCCTTTCACAGCTGGCGGAGACATGGGGATGCCCCGACGGCGCAGAGCCAGGAGCATTGGCACCAAAGCTGATCGGTGCTACCACTTTGATTAGCATGAGGATCATTGCTAGATCAGCAGGGGGGTTTGTACGAGTAGATGGCCCCGATGCCTACGCCGACATCCTCAATGACCTCGATTTTGAGGGAGACGACATCCCGCAGCCAGAGGCCGGCACCTCACAGTCGGATAGGGCCTACTTCGATGCCCGCTTTGACGCTTTGCAGCAAAGCATCGATACGCGATTCGATGCTTTTCAGCATAGCATTGGCACATGACAGCAGAGTACCGATGCTCGACTAGACACCTTGGTGCAGGGATTCGACAACCTCTCGGTTTGGCTCCATGGCCATTATCCCGCTCCTCCACAGGATCCGCCGGCAGACGAGTGAAGACCGGCTTGCCTTTTTTTTATGTATCTGTTTGAATGGGGCTACGTCCCATCGTTTATCTTGTACAAAATTTCATGTTTATTTAATGAATGAAATTTTTTACTCTTTGAGTCCAAATCTTTTAGCACTTTTACTTCTGTACAGAAAAAGCCAAAACAGTAAAAAAGGCAAAATACAGAAAAAGCCAAAACAATAAAAAAAAGAGGCAAAAACACAACAAAATTGTACAGAATAACTGAGCCCGGAGAGGCTCGCAGAAATAATACTCTCCAGAGAAACCTCAACTCATGCTCGCAGACTCAAAATCCCCAGCGAGAATTATCAAAGCAAGATCGTCAGAATCCTCAAAGGAAGCACGATCACCAAATCAGAATATCCAGTCAAGGGACTTAAAATTCCTCAGTGGAAGATAACTCTCCAACTCAAGCGTTGAGCAAGACTAAGCCTGAAAAGGCTTTCTAAATAATACTGTGGGATGCACAAAGATCCTCAATCCCCAAACGGAATTCGGCATTCTACCAAAACACCGAGCTCCACCTAACAGAAAAGGCCAATCAAGATCTGCCCGACAGAATCCCCCAGCAGATAACAGCCTACACGGAGGCTACAAAAATCAAAAAAATCAAAAAGAGTCACCCGAATAAGGATAATGGGGATACTCCACCAACGTCGAAAGGACGTCAGTCAATCATAAGGCACCGCCCGTCTCAGAAAGAGCATCTGTGTCTACACCTCAAGGAATCAAAAATTCCCCAATGGGTACCAACTACGCAATGCAAGTTGAGGCACAAGAACCTATGAATGACTGCACATCCCCTAGACGGATCCCTGCGTTATCCAGCCCTCAGTGACACAAAATCAAAAACAAACCGTCGAAGCAGCATCGTGGACTGTAGAGACAACATCATCACAAATCCCTAGAGAGGGCAAACTCAAGACTGCCAACATCGTCAAAAACATGGGGGCAAAGCCTGGAGAGGCGGTACTCACGTTACCCCGTCGTCACAAACACGGAGGTATGCAGCTTCCAACTCGGGCAGCGAGCGAAGCTAAGCCTGGAGAGGCGATACTCAAACACGAAGACATGCAACTTCCGGCTCGGGCAGCGAGCGAAGTTAAGCCTGGAGAGGCGATACTCACGTTACCCCGTCATCACAAACACGGAGGTATGCAGCTTCTGGCTCGGGCAGCAAGCGAAGCTAAGCCTGGAGAGGCGATACTCAAACACGAAGATGTACAACTTCCGGCTCGGGCAGCGAGCGAAGCTAAGCCTGGAGAGGCGGTACTCACACTGCCAACATCGTCAGAAACATGAAGGCAAAGCCGGGAGAGGCGGTACTCACGTTCCCCCGTCGTCACAAACACGGAGGTATGCAGCTTCCGGCTCGGGCAGCGAGCGAAGTTAAGCCTGGAGAGGCGATACTCAAACATTAGGATACACAGCTTCCGGCTCGGGCAGCGAGCGAAGCTGAGCCTGGAGAGGCGGTACTCACACTGCCAACATCGTCAGAAACATGAAGGCAAAGTACTCACATTGCCAACATCGTCAGAAACATGAAGGCAAAGCCTGGAGAGGCGGTACTCAGCTACCGACGTCGTCAAAAACACGCTGGTATGCACAAGCCTGGAGAGGCGACGACTAAATACTCAACCTGAAGAGACAACTCAACAGTTTCCACCGGAAGAAGCTACGAAGCAGAAGGATGGCTTACTCCCCGGACAATTGGGTCAACTCCTTTACTTGTCAGCCGGTACACCAAAAGACCGTTTGACTAAGTAAAGGGGGGGCAGCTGTAGACCCCTAAAATTGTGGAGGTCAGAAATAAAGCTCAAAGGCTCGCAAAGACCGAAGGAAGATCAACCGGAAGGACTCCTAGAAGACCCTAGGATGATTCTTTGTAGGTCTAGGGGCCTTAGAGTAGCTTAGAACAGGGATATATGAGAGTAGAAGCTCAATACACCCTCCTGGGAATTCAGTACGGCCATACTGAATAATTTACACTACAATACGGCCGCAGTGAACTCAGTACGGCCGTATTGAGTAATTTACACTACAATACGGCCGTAGCAAACTCAGTACGGCCGTATTGAAAGTTTGGAACTTTCAATACGGCCGTACCCAATTTAATACGGCCGTATTGAAGTTCAAAACTTCAATACGGGCCGTATTGAGCCCCAGGGGCCGTACTGCGCCTCCATCCTATATATATGACGCGTTTTGGACGTTTTCCAACACTTTTTTCACTTTTCACTTTTCACTTTTCTTGCTCCCCTCTCTGGCTGAGTATTCTTAGGTTCTTTTCAGCTATTCTTTGCCCTAGAAATCCCTCTGTGAGCCAATTTGTTCTTAGGGGAGGGAACGTGCGAGCGTGTAGTGGGAAGGAGCGCCAAAAAGCCTCCTAATTCTTCTTCTGAATATAAAAGCCTGCTTCGGAGGTTTCTTTCTAAAAACCCTTTTAT